AGGCTGTAGAGGGTAAAAAGTGTATTATAGCATGTTATAGCATATTCTCATATTTTTTTATGGTATACTATAGTATATCACTACTTCGTGCTGGAAACCTCTGGCTCTATTGGGCCACTCGGCGCTTCAAGGTGCTTTGAACGTGCTTCGCCCCCGGGACCCATGAAACTAGAAAATACCAGAGTCAGAGTGCACTATAGTATGCTATGATATACTACAGTATACCATAGTATACTAGAGCATACTTTAGTATGCTACTATGGTCTATATATAGCATAGCATACTAAGTACGAAACTAGTGCGGGCCCAGCAGCTTGAGCTGTACGCGGAGTACATGAAACTTCCATCCACGAGCTCAGTCCTTGGGCCGAGTTAGCTCATGAAGCTGTGACATGTGCAAACTCTGTGACGGCTCCTTTGCAACATGCGCAAGTAGTGATGACACGCGCCCCGTCTATGCACAAGCTGAAAGGTATGTACGGCGTATTATGTGACAACGCAATGCAGTCAGCCATGTATCACGAGATCCTTCCAAGCCCAAGCGTCTTTGACGAAGCGCGGTCGTCAGGGGTGCGACAATCCACAAGGGGCACGATGTTATCCGCCATCTTGGTGGTGCAGGCCGCATCTGCGAACATCTCCAGGGTGACCGCCGGTAGGTCAACGCATTCCGTGTAGTTGTAACCCCTAACACAGGTGTTGAAGGGGAAAAAATCTCCCCAGTCAAAGGCAGAGCTGCAGTCGGAGTTGGATCCGTTGAACTTTTCATAGAGAATCCCCGTGGCGTTGCAGGTGTATCTCTCGTTGTTCTGGAAAAGGCATTCACGGCTGGCATCCAGGTCAAAATCGTACATAGGACCGCTGCAGTTGTCTGCCTCATATTTCTCCATCTTAGCGAAGAGCACTGCGTCGCAGACGGTCAGAAGCCCAAAGCACCTGCGCAAGATTTGAAGTTCACACTTGGAGGTCACAGGATCTCACGGGTGCTAGGGCAACTGCAGCCCAAGCACACGGCTGCACGGGACATGGCGAGCGGAGTCCGAATTGGTTCTTCCCTTGAGATCTGGGCCAAGAGCTGCGTGGTCAAGACCGCATGTTTAAGTCGAGGGAGATTCAGGTGCAAGTCAATCATGCTACAGCTAGACATGGACCTAAACGCCCCAAGCACCTGGCCGCCAGCAAAAACACGACATCTCAGCTGTCAACCCCCCTGAGACCCACGTAAACCTGCATAAAACCCGAGCTCAGAATGCGCCAAATCCGGAAGCTTCAAACTTTGAACAACTGCCGAGGCCAACTGGAGAAAGCTCTAAGAGGACTGGGTCCGGTGCCTTCCTTGTAGGGGGGATCGTTGCCATTCAAGACGTCACTACGGCTAATGTTTCACGGACATCCCTTCATTACTACCTATCGGCCCTGCTGTTTAAGAATAGCCCCCGATGCACATACGTCTATTGCCAGGGGGACACACGACCCACACACAGCATTATGTATCTCCGGCGTATATCGCACTTCACTCTCCGACATACGTCCGGAAGCATCTGGGTTCAGTCTTCCATTTAACGAGGTACATATAGGGCCAAAGGATCCTCTTCTCAGCAGCACAGCACCTGTGGGCTCTGTGGCTGAGGTTCCCGGCTCGAACCATTGCTGCAGCCCTTGCTGCTCCGACTTCTCGGATAAGCGCAAAGCAAAGCCTCCAGGCAATTCGCGGCTAAAGCTGTGCGGGCCGTGGAAGGACGGATGCGCACCCACCTTCTCCTAGAAGCGCCTCTCCAAGAATATCCTCAGGCATTGATCTGCATGCCTCACTAAGCTTCGCGACGCCGGCATTCTCGGTATAACATCTTAACCCGTCGACTTACCATCACTTGACCTGCTAGGATTAAGCAGGAATGTGGCAGGAACGTAGTAGTCCTCGAGTCCAGCACTCGTCCGATGCACGGCGAAGGGATAGGCCCTGGCGTGCTCACTTGCACTCTTAGACCTGCTTGCTCTCCCAGACTGCCGTAATTCCTTGGACAAATGGATTCTGAGGACGCCGCGTGCCCACAGTGAGCCTGAGAGGCCGCAACAGCGGGTTCGGCCAGTCATGGAATGACTCACATGACTCCACATCTAGTTCACTGCTACCAATCATTATGAATTTTGGGCTGCCAATCATTATGAATCACTATTGTACTCTTGCCATCATTCGCATTTTCACTGCAGCTTCTTTGGACTCCGGCTCATGCACGTCAGGTTCTTGGTCCTGACGACATACCATCTGAGCTGAAGAGGAGGGCCCAGGGGAGAGGCAGAATGACAGTGCTACGACGCTCCGCCCGTCCCCGTCTATCGCTGGGACCCATTGCCACGAATCTTCCAGAGGGCTATGCCAAGATGTGTCCACCTCTGGATCTCCGCTGTCTGGTAGTTCACCAAGGCGGCTGCACGCGTCACCTGTGCTCTTACTCGCCTCCTGAAACTCCTTCATCTTGCGCCAGAAACCGAAAGAACTGATCCTGTGCCGACCACCGAAACGGATGGCCATCAAGCACAGGCACTCACCGCCAACGCCTCGGCATGCAGTCTCTTAGCAGTAGACATGACCACGCTCATAGACGCCAAGCCGCTGGGGAACCAGGAGCAACCTGGGCCCGGTTGTCTATATGCTGTATGTGCTCTGAATGCACGGGAAAAGGAACTCAATGCCGCAGCCTGCCGGATCCCCTCCGAGGGCCCGGCACAGCTGTGCAGGCCCTTGCTGCCGGAAGAGTGGGGCGAGCCGTGCAGACACGGTGACTGCCTGCATCTCTATGTTCCTTGCTCCTCACTCCATCTCTGCATTTGCGGTATCTTCAGAAGAGAGAAGAAGCCGGAGGCATGAGCAAGTCAGATGTAGAATAGAAATGTGGGAATCTTTTTCAGCCATGCGGGCTTCGACTGCGTGATGCCGAACGCCGGCTTCCCCTCTGGGTGCCTGTCCCCGCGGAAACTGGCAGGTCTCTTAAAACCTCGCCGCAGTTCACTACGCGAACTTCCTTGCAAGTGGAGTCCCGTGCCGACACGATATGGTCTAGGAATGCAGGGCTCGTGATGAGGCGCCCCACGGCTGCATGGTCGCGGTCCAAACGAGGAGCAGGGGCAAGCGTCAGAATATAGCCCGCAAAGTCCACGTTCCGCGAGACCGACAGCATTCCGGAATCTGTGTGTGGCAGTCCTTTCCCCGTCTCCGTTTCTGGTTCACCTGGCAGGGCGGGATCTGGCTGTCATGAGTCAAGTCGATTCAGAGAGCTTCCGGCTCTCTTTGCTGCATACCCGACCCAGCTCAGCTCCGTCCAACAGCGCAGAGGTTGGAGTTATCTGCCTGAGTGCGCAGCCCACGCGACGTTGAATCAACCTATAGGCTACCCATGGTCACCAGGGGAGGCGGAGCCGAATGGGTGGACTCCTGTGCTCGTTCAGACACTGACTTGCCGTCGCCGGTTGCAAGCGAGCTACGTTAGGCGGCGGTCGCTGAGCCTTCCAGCCGCGCAGTCCTCGAAATTGGATGTTTGGGTAAGCTATGCTTCTCGACATCCCCACGACCCAAGTCTTGACTGTATCTTCCCCAATCTCCACACCCAACAAACATGCACACCCGAAGAGTATGAAGCCTGAACCCGTGACGTGACCACCGCAAACAAGGAGAGAACTCTCAACTCCAGGCCTGGCAGATGAGATGCTCACAACGCACGCCGAAAAGCTACAGGGGCCTTAATAACTAGAATAGGCTTTGTTGGGGCCCGTTATCCTATAATAACAGTAAGGAGCCCCCCAAAAGTATCGGTAATTATTTAGGCCCCTCAATTACCCTCATATAGACTCTTCTGCACAAGCCGACGAGCTCTGAGCTCTCCCTCACTGCGGCAGAAGGCACCTCCAAAAGGCGGCGCGCTGCTTTGGGCGCCGCCTTGCGTAGTCTCAGCAGGGTGAGTTTATAACTACGCCATAATGTTATCCGCCGACCCCTGCGGGCGGCGCCCGTGATATCCCGAGAGGTGTCCGCACCCACACCGCTTCCACCGCCTCCACCGCTCTGTTCAAAGAGTCTTTCACCGCTGTATTTGTAGGTGTTTAAAGAGTATGTAAAGGCTGCCAATGTGTGCCCGGACCTCTCCGCGCCCCCACTGCCCCCACCGTCCTCACCGCCCTCACAACCTCCACCACCGCTCTGTTTAAAGATTCCTTCACCGCTGTATTTGTAGGTGTTTAAAGAGTATATAAAAGTATTTAAACCAATGTGTGCCCGGACCCCTCCGCGCCCACACCGCCCCTGTACCGCCACCGCCGCCCTCACCACCCCCACCGCCCTCACTGGCCTCACCTGCCTTTGTAGCACCACCTCCACCGCCCTCACCACCCCCACCGCCCTCACTGCCCTCACCTGCCTTTGTAGCACCACCCCCACTGCCCCCCACCGCCCTCACCACCTCCACCACCGCTCTGTTGAAAGAGATTTCACCGCTGTATTTGTAGGTGTTTTTTTTTTGAATATTCCTCCACTGTGCCCGGACCGCTCTCATTGCCCCCACCGCTTCCGCCGCCCTCACAGCTCTCACCGCCCTCACCACCCCCACCACCTCCACCACTGCCACCACCCCCAGTGTTCTGTCAGGGGAGTTATAACCGCTGTGTTTGTAGGTGTTAAAAAGTATTTAAAGGCACCGCCCTCACCACCCCCGCCACCTTCATCCCCCTCCACCGCTTTCACTGCTCCCACCGTCTCCACCGCTCTCACCGCCCGCTGTATTTGTAGGTGTTTAAAGAGAAAGAAAAAAGGCTGCCAATGTGTGCCCGGACCCCCCGCGCCCCCACCGCCCTTACCGCCCCCACCGCCCTCACCGCCCCTCACCCCCCACCACCATCCCCCTCCACCGCTTTCACCGTTCCCACCGTCTCCACCGCTCTCACCGCCCGCTGTATTTGTAGGTGTTTAAAGAGTAAAGAGTATTTAAAGGCTGCCAATGTGTGCCCGGACCCCCCCGCGCCCCCACACCGCCCCCACCGCCCACACCGCCCTCACCACCCCCACCACCTTCATCCCCCTCCACCGCTTTCACCGTTCCCACCGTCTCCACCGCTCTCACCGCCCGCTGTATTTGTAGGTGTTTAAAGAGTAAAGAGTATTTAAAGGCTGCCAATGTGTGCCCGGACCCCCCCGCGCCCCCACCGCCCACACCGCCACACCGCCCCCACCGCCCACACCGCCCTCACCGCCCTCACCACCCCCACCACCTTCATCCCCCTCCACCGCTTTCACCGTTCCCACCGTCTCCACCGCTCTCACCGCCCGCTGTATTTGTAGGTGTTTAAAGAGTAAAAAATATTTAAAGGCTGCCAATGTGTGCCCGGACCCCCCCGCGCCCACACCGCCCACACCGCCCACACCCCCCACCGCCCTCACCGCCCTCACCGCCCTCACCACCCCCACCACCTTCATCCCCCTCCACCGCTTTCACCGTTGCCACCGTCTCCACCGCTCTCGTAGGTGTTTAAAGAGTAAAGCGTATTTAAAAGCTGCCGATGTGTGCCCGGACCTCCCCGCGCCCCCACCGCCCACACCGCCCCCACCGCCCACACCGCCCTCACCACCCCCACCACCTTCATCCCCCTCCACCGCTTTCACCGTTCCCACCGTCTCCACCGCTCTCACCGCCCGCTGTATTTGTAGGTGTTTAAAAAGTGAAGAGTATTTAAAGGCTGCCAATGTGTGCCCGGACCCCCCCGCGCCCCCACCGCCCACACCGCCCCCACCGCCCACACCGCCCTCACCGCCCTCACCATCCCCACCACCTTCATCCCCCTCCACCGCTTTCACCGTTCCCACCGTCTCCACCGCTCTCACCGCCCGCTGTATTTGTAGGTGTTGAAAGAGCAAAGAGTATTTAAAGGCTGCCAATGTGTGCCCGGACCCCCCGCGCCCCCACCGCCGACACCGCCCACACCCCCCCCACCGCCCCCACCGCCCTCACCGCCCTCACCACCCCCACCACCTTCATCCCCCTCCACCGCTTTCACCGTTCCCACCGTCTCCACCGCTCGCTGTATTTGTAGGTGTTTAAAGAGTAAAGAGTATTTAAAGGCTGCCAATGTGTGCCCGGACCCCCCCGCGCCCCCACCGCCCACACCGCCCCCACCGCCCACACCGCCCTCACCGCCACCACCTTCATCCCCCTCCACCGCTTTCACCGTTCCCACCGTCTCCACCGCTCTCAACGGCCGCTGTATTTGTAGGTGTTTAAAGGCTGCCAATGTGTGCCCGCCCCACCGCCCACACCGCCCCAGCACCGACCCCACCACACCCGCCCTCACCGCCCTCACCACCCCCACCACTTCATTCCACCGCTTTACCGTCCCACGTCTCCACCGCTTCACCGTTGCACCGTCTTGTAGGTTGTTTTTAAAGAGTTTAAAGCGTTTAAAGGCTGCCAATGTGTGCCCGGCACGCCACACCGCCCCAAACGCCCACACCGCCCTCACGCCCTCACAACCCACCACACCTTCATCCCCCTCCACCGCTTTCACCGTTCCCACCGTCTCCAACCGCTCTCACCGCCCGCTGTATTTGTAGGTGTTTAAAAAGTGAAGAGTATTTAAAGGCTGCCAATGTGTGCCCGGACCCCCCCGCGCCCCCACCGCCCACACCGCCCAGCACCGCCCCCACCGCCCCACACCGCCCTCACCACCCCCACCACCTTCATCCCCCTCCACCGCTTTCACCGTTGCCACCGTCTCCACCGCTCTCACCGCCCGCTGTATTTGTAGGTGTTTAAAAAGTGAAGAGTATTTAAAGGCTGCCAATGTGTGCCCGGACCCCCCGCGCCCCCACCGCCCACACCGCCCAGCACCGCCCCCACAGCCCACACCGCCCTCACCGCCCTCACCACCCCCACCACCTTCATCCCCCTCCACCGCTTTCACCGTTCCCACCGTCTCCACCGCTCTCACCGCCCGCTGTATTTGTAGGTGTTTAAAGAGTAAAGAGTATTTAAAGGCTGCCAATGTGTGCCCGGACCCCCCCGCGCCCCCACCGCCCACACCGCCCCCACCCCCACCGCCCTCACCGCCCTCACCGCCCTCACCACCCCCACCACCTTCATCCCCCTCCACCGCTTTCACCGTTCCCACCGTCTCCACCGCTCTCACCGCCCGCTGTATTTGTAGGTGTTTAAAAAGTGAAGAGTATTTAAAGGCTGCCAATGTGTGCCCGGACCCCCCCGCGCCCCCACCGCCCACACCGCCCAGCACCGCCCCCACCGCCCACACCGCCCTCACCGCCCTCACCACCCCCACCACCTTCATCCCCCTCCACCGCTTTCACCGTTCCCACCGTCTCCACCGCTCTCACCGCCCGCTGTATTTGTAGGTGTTTAAGGAGTAAAGAGTATTTAAAGGCTGCCAATGTGTGCCCGGACCCCCCCCGCCCCCACCGCCCACACCGCCCCCACCGCCCACACCGCCCTCACCACCCCCACCACCTTCATCCCCCTCCACCGCTTTCACCGTTCCCACCGTCTCCACCGCTCTCACCGCCCGCTGTATTTGTAGGTGTTTAAAGAGTAAAGAGTATTTAAAGGCTGCCAATGTGTGCCCGGACCCCCCCGCGCCCACACCGCCCTCACTACCTTTATTGTCCTCACTGCCCGCCCCGGCCTTGCGATGCGCCGCCGCGCACGCGCGACTATTTTTTGTCGTAATCCCATGGCCACAACTGCACTGGTTCCGTATCTTAAGCATATCGAATACAGCCTTCCTGCTAAACTCGGTTTTGTGCGGATGCCTTTTGCCTCTGAGTCACAAGGTTGCTGAAACATGCGCACACAATGTCCGAGAGCTGAGCACTGCGTCAGTCCGAATACTTCGCCGCATCAGTCATGTGCTCATGCTACTCGTGCCAGTTACAAGACTTGCAGTTGGCTGCTTTCAACACCTGCTGCGTTCCTTGGATAGTCACCTCTCTTCTTTTGGGGTCGGCGGCAGTGGCGGCAGCCCATAAATCGGGCAGCGCTTCGCTGCCCTGTATGGACTGAGCTATGGCTCAGACGAATGAGCTTCGTCTGCGAAGCAGAAGCCACGACCGACAGTGCCGCCGACCCGCCCCGGACCCCGCATCATCGGACCCTCGTTTCTCCCTCGGGCCGCGCGGGGCCTGGCCCGAAGGCGTCTCGGAACGCGCACGCGTTTTGCAGCCATTCCCCGCGGTGTGGCGGGTTTCGGGGCCGCCGTGGACGACCCCAGGAGGCGAGCCGGCGAGCATCATGAGCCCTCGGGCGCCCGCAACCGGCGCCGGCGGCGCGACGTGGGCGCGAAGTCATAACTCCCAAGTTTTGAGTGGGTTGCGGAAGCCGCCAAAGGGCGCGCATCATGAGCATCAGCGGGGTCCGGCGGACGGGGGGTGCGGGCTACATGCAGGGCCGACGGGGGCTGAGAGCCTACGATCACCCACAAGTTGCGCACTTCGGGCCTACGTTGCACTTATCTATATACCGCGGGTTTCTGACAACAGCTCGCAGCGGGCGCTGCCCGCACCTGGGCGCAGCCCCTAAATAAATACAACTAATGCAAATGGTATGGCTCTTTTCGCTTTGGGCTCTTTGAACGACCGTCCATGTTCATAGGTCAGTATGATCAGGCTGACCTGAGGGTGTGCTTCGAAAGTGGACTTGCAACAAAACATGATCTATGGTGCAGCTTGGGCTGGGTGGCAACACCAAATTCGACGGCGACTAAGCAGTTGCAGGAATTTTGCCAGCCAATCCGGTAATTACATCTCACCAGACTTTTTACATGTGAGGCTAAGTCGGCTAAGTGCACTGCTTTCGCTGTGCACCCGCAACAGAGCAAGGGTGCGCTACATGTGAGGCTAAGTGGCAACGGCGATGTATCTGAAGTGGTGATCCAGTCAGTTCGAAGTAAAAATGGCTGGGCTGAGAGCGTGCGCTGAGCGAAACCTTCGATGTCGAGCGGAAACGAAGGAACGTCGGGCAGGGGGTCATCAAACAGAGGTCAAGGCCTGGACTCTAGCCTCATGATCACCACTTGGTCTTCGGCCTCTGGGTACAGCTCAAACTCCAAGGCTTGCTGGTGGTCTACTCCGAAGAAGGCGCCGCGGAAGATTGCAATCCTTGTGCAAGTCTCGGACAGGGTTTGCTTATCGTGTCACGCAGCACCAGAACAAGTCTAAGAGGTGAGAAAACAGGCCAAGAGGCTCCAGGAAGATCTTCGGGCGGCCAGAGCAGGCGCTTTGGATCGGTAGTTTTGGGACATGCTCAGATCGGCACGCCCGCCCCCTGCCAACAAAAAAGGGTGCCATCGAGTCACAGCATGTGCGGTCATCATATAAACGGACTGCAAATAGGTGCTACACAACCGTGAGCGCCAAGGCCTGGCAACACCGTCCTCCTCGCTTGGCCGGCTGGGCCGGCTGCCTGCACTGCCTGCTGCCTCCAGTTTGCTCTGGCCTTTGCGGCCGAAGACCACTGCCATGGCCGATTGATTGCTCGCATAAGCACTTTCTGTCGTCCGCTCGCTTGCAAATCTTAACTATTTCGGGTACGGTAGAGTACATTACCATGCAACAACAGGGCTGTTTAATTCATCGTTTCGCTTCGTAGCCTCCCCTCGCCTAGCTACTGTAGGCTTCTGTAGCTGCATGTTCGAGAACTCATCAAACCCAACTGCACTTCCAGCGGCGAGATTCTGGGCACAAACTAGCTTGGGCTTGAGCTACTCATCTCAACAAAGCTTCACGCAGTAAGGGCCTCGTGATTGGCTCTCGCCCGGTGCAGCTCCTTTCGCAATGCTGGTAGACTCACGAAACTCTGTGGCATGTGTACCCTCAGCCCACCAGAGAGGCAAACTTTCCCTGACAAGCTGCGGCACCTGATCTATCTGAAATCATGGCTCCGGTCCAAGCGCGCCTTTTGCAAGCCATGCTGATCTGCGTCAGAAAGGAGAGCCTCGATGAAGAACTTGCCTGCCCAGAATCAGAACTCGTGACTGCTGGGGCGATTCAATGCTATGAGGAAGCAGCGGCCAAGCCCCAGCCGAGGTCAGACATGTCAGAACCCGAGTCGTTTCCACGCCTGACGTCCTCACACTGTACAATTGAGGAATATTCTGCTTCGGTCGGCACAGAACTCTGCCCTGCAAACGCCGAAGCAGCCTTGTGGAGGCGGGTGCTCACTCTAAAGCGACTCGACACACTAGTCCAGGGATTTGCCGATTCTGCATTCTGGCATGGCTCCCTGTGCCAGCTGATGCTGGCGGCCATTGGTGTGCATGGATACTTCGTGGAATTTCATGCTCATTCTTACTTGATCATATCGCGTTTAAAAGCATCACGGAAACTCGTGGCAAGGATATCAGGCAGCAGGTTCCGCTTTTGTGGCGTCTTCCAGAAAAAGCTGAGGAGAATCTGCTACGACACGCGCGTGGCAAGACTCGTTCATGAGGCATTCGGCCGGCTGTTGATGGACGGTGGATGCCATAATCAGGCCTTACAGGGAAGGCCAATTCCAAATTCGGACGAGGATCCGCGATCACAGCAAAAGCACATCAAGAAAGACAGGCATGCGAACGAGCCGCTTGACCGCTCCACCTTTGCAATTGGGTTGACGTTGTCTTGGACAACCGTTTCGGTAACCGTCTTGTCAAAGCAATGGGTTGCTGCGACGATGATGTGCAACTCTGCATGACCTGAGCAAAGGAGAACCTGTTGTTGTCATTTCCCCATTGATCTTTAGCTTACTTGGTGGGACTCTGCACCCAACGAACAATGCAAAAACAAAAGGCTTCGGGGAGCAACCCCATGTTTCGTCTGCGTGCGACCCAGGTTACTGAGTGGAAGAGCACCTGCTGCAGGAGTGGAGTAAGATGCACATGATACGGGAGTTTCCGAGAAGAGGGGACCCTAATATAGTACCCTAGATAGTATATAGGGTCTTTGTTATGAGGACCTTTTTAATAAGGTAATTATCCCTTCTTTTGGGAAACTCTCATATCCCAGGCTGAGCCAATGACCGAAGGCAGCTTCCACAAACACACCGCTCAACAAGAAGGCCAAAGATGCCTGACTTTGTAATGGCATCGAGCAGGTCGAAGGCAGCGTCCTTCTCTCCTTGTTGGAGGTAGAACTGGGGCTGTTCGACTACATGGCCTTTGCTTTAGCTCCTGTTTGAATTGAGCGCTGCTCCTGTACTCGCTTTCTCAGTCTCTGCACTCTCCCAAACATGCCGCAAGGTGGCGCTTCTGCTCGTCTGCTGCCAAGGACCTCGTCTGGGCTGCGGCCAGCCTGAGCAAGTAAGGTCTGGTATGCCAAGAGGGACATTCAGAAGAACAACATGCTCTTTCAACCGCGCTAAAGACTTTGCTTTGGCAGGAAAGGGCCTGGCCTTGGGGCCAGAACAGACATGAAAGAAACCCAGGGTCAGAGGGCCATGTGCCAGTTTCGCCAAGAAGCAATGCAGCTTGCGATCGTTTCGACCATGTGCTACCAGGGTTTATGATGGTGGGCCGAAGGGAGCTGTCCTCAGCGCGGCTGGCAAGCGTCCAATCTCTGCAACTCGTGCTGAAGTAAGTAGTGGTGACACTGCCTCGAAAAAGGCAGTCAAGGGTCGGGGTCCAACTTCTCAAATTGCTCATCCAGCTGCTTGGGAACCTGGGTGTAGTCACGAGCCTCCAGTGACTCCTCCACTGCTTCCGGTTGCGATGGTGGCTGCTGTGTCGTTTTGGGCTTTGCCTCGGCCTGGGATGGCTCCGACGGCTGCGACGCCTGAGGCTCTGGCGCCTCTGCAGATGCTGGCTCCACTGGCGGCGCGACTGCAGCTTTACTGGAGGTGGGCGCAGCACCCACAGAAAGCCTCCTCCGGCTCCGAGGTGCTGCCGAGTCCAGACACAGGCTTCTGGGCTCGTAGTTTGGAGCGGTATCTCTGCACCTCTCCGCTTTTGATGAGGAGCCACCCAGGGACTGAACTGCACCCGACAAGGCTCGCCCCATGCCACCGAAGAATCCTCCACTTTTCTTGGCAGTTCTGTGAAATTTCTCAGGCGACGCCATCTCATCACCACGCAACAGAATCTGGTCCATGCACTCGTGTTGCCTCTCCAGCACTTCCTGGAGGCAAAACATTGAAACGAGCATGCTGACTTGAAGTGACAACCTTCTGAAGGCCTTAGAAAGAGATCTGCGAGAAAAAGGAAACTCGGGACTCCCTTGGACCCCATGTCTGGCAGAGGGGCCTGCAGCCTCATGTTCACCTCCCGGGCCTCCTGAGCAGCTGGCTGTTTCCCCGATATCTCACAGTCCCATCAGAATATCAGAACATAATCAATCGTCTTCGAATGGGCATCATCGCACCAGTGGTGTGTTGGGTGAGCCGTACATGGGAACCTTGGGATGTGAACAACTCTCCTGTGCCTCTTCCTGCTGTTACCGGTCCAGCGCTCAACCGGCCTATCAGCGCATCAACATCTGTTGTGTCCGTTTCTGCTTGCGACAGGCTTGAGCCTAGACTTCGGAGTGTCTCCGAAATAAGCATGTACTCACTTCAGGAGCTTTGGTGGGGATGTGAACGCTCACTTGAGGCTTATGACTGGCAAAGATATCTGAAATACTCTCTCTCTCTCTCTCTCTCTCTGCTTCCCTCTCTTTGTCTTTCTGGAAGCTCCATGCCACGTCAGGGTACAACAAGTTTTTACCCGAGATACAGATCCATGGTCTGGACCCGCTCTTGCAGCGCTCCCCCCTTGTGGTTGCAGAGCGAGGGAGGCCATGGGAGGCCTGAGGGTGTCTGTGGAAGGCAATCGTCACGTTGTTGTTCTTTTGTACGTCGTTTGTCGCATTTGCTCACGCCACCCCACCCTAACCCCGAACTTAATTGCACAGCCAAGCACATTGCTAGGTAGCCTGCACACACCCGTGTCGCTCCCAGTGTTGCAGCACAAGCACAGCTCAGGCCATCTCAGGCCCAAACCTCCATGCTCTTGAGGTGAGACGATCACATGCTGATGAGACCGCTCGTGTGCCCTTGAACACCCCCCGAAGCACGACAACCCTGTACCCACAGGCAAGTCATGGGCATGTATGTGTATCTTCAGGGCTTGTCAACAAGCATGGACACAAACTATTCAAACTTCTGAACTCGTTCGTAGTCGTGAAAACTTCTTCTCTCGTGGGAGCACAGATTTTGACCAGAGCAACAGGGTAGCAAAAGCATCATGCTTGCGGTGCGGGGACGGGCATTGTCAGGCAGTCGGCAGCTCGTGTAGAAAGAAAATAATTTCAACGTGAGCAGCAGCATCCAAGTAGAGTATACTGTGGGATCATCGATGCTTTCATAGAGCCGGCACACGATGCCTCATTCTGCAGTCAGCCGGGCGAAGGCCTTCTCTGCCCTTCCTCTTGCTCGCTAGGGGCGCGAAAGCGATCCTACTCCACTGCTCGCACGGAGAGCAGTGTTGAAGCAGACCCCAAACCATCCGTCTCTGTGTCTCTCTCAGTTTTCTCCGTCTTCTTCCTCTTTGTGGGCTTCACGAAGTGCAAACCTTGGGCCACCTTCGTGCTTGCGGTACAAGTAGAGGAGGTCTACTTTTCTATCCTGTATTCTGGGCTTGCTGCAAGTGGGCACCTCAGACATGCAACAAAGGGGTAGTCTCGCATCAGCTCCAAATTCACGAGGCACTCGCTTTCAGTCATTCTTTCTTCTTCTCTCTCCCGCTTTCTTTCTCTGGGCCTGAAGCGGAGCCCTACAGGGAGAGCGCCCTCTGTTGGTATTGCAAGCTCGGAGGCTGATGTGAGAACGTGGACAGCCGGAGATGTCATGTGACGCCGCCTTATTCTTCTTCACACCTGTCTTAATCTCTCTGACTTTCGCTGCCGCAAACAGTGGGCCAATGGACCCCCTGTAGTCATGGGCAAACTGTTGGGCTTCCTCCTCTTCGCGGCGTTTCTTCTCCTCCTCGAGACGTCGATACTCCTCCTGTCTTGCGGGGATGGGTCTTTCCAGGGTGCATTGCAAGACAGGCACCCTTGCAGTCTACAAGCTCATCACCGTAGGCAAACCCTCGTACCCTCTCGGACCCACATTCACCACGGTGATAGTACCAGAAACTTGAACATCGCCAACCTCCCCTTGCTGCTATGAGTCCTCCTTCCTGCGCTGCTCCAGCTCTTCGCGCTTCCTTCGCACGACAGCCAAGTCAAGTTGACAGGGAACCTTGCCTCCCAGTGCTTGAAGTGGGCAAAACTACGTACGACGTAAGCTAATGAGGCTAAGGAGCTCCGCTTCGATCATGTCGTGCATCGCTTTTACCTGTGGCCAAAGGACCCAGTGGTCGCCCAGGCACACGACAGCACCGGAAGGACACCCAGCGATGCAGAAGAGGTGGAAGCAAACCAAGTAAATGAAGACATGAACAGAAGCCATTCTCAGAAAGTGAAAGGCTACAGAGTGTTGAAACAAAGAAGATCACTGGAAAGCCGCGCCCGCAGAACACTCCACCCCACCGCAAAGCTCTGAAATCACGTGACCCGGGTGATTTGTCCTTGCAGGACTGTAGACTGTTAGATGCTGCGCTGGCCGACTGGCCCGATGCGGGACTTTGGCTCGCACTGCAGCGGAAGCCACAGCGCGCCTATGCACTTGGTGTGCCTCGTGCAGTCACCGCCCTTTGCGTAGCCCTTGAGCGCACCAGATCATTTCACGGTGCTCGGTGGACGTACATTCAAGAGCGAAAGCTACAGTTATTGATAAATACATTACAATGTTGTACATAAATGAAGAAATCGATAGGTAGTCATATATACATGGGTACATACGTACATACCTATGTACCTACGTACTTACATGCATACATGCATGCATACATACATACCACCTGTCCATCTTCCTTTAAAAACAAAGGCCCCCCCCCGGCCTGGCCCTTCACGACCTGCAGGCGCTCCCCTGCTGAGCCATGCCCGTTCGGAAGGAGGTC